AGTATTTCGCAAATATACCGAGAAACATAACTGACAACAACAAAAAATATACATGTAACTGGCTGTAATAAGAGTAATTTCTCTTTCGTTACATTACATTAATCAGAAAATCGAACAGTCAAGAAACGAAAACTCAATAATACTTAAGCTTTGATTTCGAGAAAAGTCTGTTTTACACTACGTTAAAGTTTTTCAGTCCATAAAAATCGTGTCAATGTTCACAGTCAGTATCTCTTAGTAAATGTTCCCAGGTTTTTCCACTGAACACTCGTTGCGGGCTTATGCCACTGATCAGATCAATCAAAAGTATACAGCGGCTTGTAAACATCTTCCCACAGTTGCAAAGCTATATCTTCGTCGATCGTTTGCCATTTCACTTCTAACTCGAACTTCCTGAATCCAGGCGGGCACTCTTTCTGTAATTCTTGAAGGGTTTTTCGTTTCACCGTTACCTCAGCGCCACTCCGAGTGTTGTTGTTTTCAACGATGGAACCATGGTCTCCTCGGGTGTGCTTCTCTTTACGCCCTGCCTTCTTTCCACTCCGAAAAATACCAACTATTTTGCCACTTTCTTCAGTCTCTGCTGGTTTGGCCATGCATGCTCCCATTTTAGATCAAGAATACTGGAATGATCGCTGTCCGTGCGAAGTGTTGTTCCTTTTTTGTAGCTCAAAAGGGAAATTGCCACCAAAATACGGTTCGTGTCAGCTAGACGCAATCGTCAGAAACAAAATTTATGTACTGCGTAATTTGAATTATATCTTTTCAACCATTCAACTGACACCAATGATTGGGTGGCTATCTGCCCAATAAGAAGTTTCGTTAATATCCGGTAACGTTTCTTGCACCTAGACACGTGATTTCAGCAAGACTGTGGTACGTTGTCCATCCACGTAGCCGGTAGACATGCTCCATTGAACGTTCTCTTAACTCAGTCACGTGGCGAAGTGATATGTTTTAGATGGGGTAATGCTGCTTAAGGTGGCTCAAAACGGTTTCCAGGACTTCCAAGACTATGTTTTGGTGAGTCATTAGAAGGACTCTTTATCAGTCGATGCCACAATCATGGTATCACAAAAAACTGCCCAATCATTGGGGAACACGTTGTTAT